CCCCCCTCCTTTTCCCCCGCACGGCCTCGCTCTCCCCCGCTCGCCCGGCGCCCTCAGCCTAGCCGAGGCGCCGCCACAGCCCGCCCCGCGCCGCCCCTTCACTGCCGCAATGAATGAGGGAGAGGCCGCAGGGGGCCACAGGCGCTCCCCAGCCGCCCCGCCGCCATCTTGGGTGCCTCCCGTCAGTCCCCACGCCGCCGCCCCGCCCCCTTGCCCCGCCCACCCCGGGGCAAGGTCCCGCGGGACCCCAGCCGCGCGCTGGAATGCGCATGCGCGCGCCGCGAACACCACCCACCACTCCCCCCCACCCCCGCCCTGGTGTCACGCGCACCCTGACGTACGTATACACAGGGGCACGCGGGCTCGGTAAGGGGCGGGGCGGGAGGGGGAGCGACAAGCTTCCTGCCCAATCAGAGAGAGGGGCCCCGCCCCTTCCCCAACGCCAGAGCTGAGGCAGGCGCCAGCGCGTGCGGAGGGCTCGGGGCCGTCCCGCCGCGGCTGAGCGGGGAGGGGGCGCTGGGTCCTAGAGCCCGCCAGCCGCACCACAGCGCCCCCTGCTGGGGAGGGAGGCGGCCGCTCCGCCACCGCAGCTGGCCCGGGCCGCTCTCCGCTCCGTACCGGACGGGGGGGGGCCGCGGCGGCCTCCCCTTCCCCCGGCAGCGAGGCGGCTCCCCCGCGGGCAGCTGCAGAGGTGGGACCCCGGCGCCCATCGCAACCCGTCAGCAGCCCAGGCTCCGTGCGCCTGTACAGCGAGTTGCGGCGCCGGGGGAGCCCGTAGCTCGCCCGCTCGCCTCTCCGGCTGGCCCACGGGGCAGGGGGTGCTCGCCAAGGGCCATCCCGGCCCTTCAGGCTTAGGTCAGGCTGCACGGAGCGCAGAGAAACGCTTACTGCAACAGGACACCCCTGTCCTCCCGCGGGCTGGGGCTGGTGTATCAGAGGATACCCCTAAAGCACACATTAAACATACAGCAGACAGCATTTAAATCATTGATTCTATTCTTTTTAATTACTATGCCTTGCTGCTGACACAGATTTTAGAGGACAGTGGGCAAGAACTGGCTATGGAACCTGCTTCTGGACCACGCGAAATGGGTTCCAGCAATGGAAACACACAACCGCTCCAGGAACTCCCAGGAAAAGCAATTCCCAGTTAATGACTTAGTATCCAAGGTGGTTACTGCCAGGAGGGATGGACAAGCTCAGGTCTCTGGGTGTTCAGGTCAACATAAGCCCTAACAAAATCACCTTACTGATCCCTGCCAGTTTATAAACAGTTATATTTATAAATAAAGTTAGCTTCATTCACATGTAAATACAAGATGAACCGCCCGAAACGTCCCTCTGAAAATAAACCTATCTACAGTACCAAAAGCAATTCAACCTAAGAGCAAAACCCTTATTTTGTTATAAACATGTGACAAAATGGGAGCTTTTAAGGTAAAAAGAATATCGCTCCTGATCAGTTTATGATAAAGCTTGCAGAGAGTTTTCTCTGGAACATATGGACGATCATGAATTTTTTATTCAGCAAATTATACATGGAAGAAAAAAATAAAAAAGATGACAGGGTAGCTGGAGCGCTGCATACTGTGTGATAATTGCATGTGCCACTCCACGCTTTGAAATCAATTTAAGCACATTAAAAGGAGCATAAGCTCCTATCAAAGACAAAACAAGCCACCAACCAAGTCAGCCTTTGCGGAACCTGTTTTGAAGCCTTAGATCAAAGCGTGTGCCAGTCCCCTCGGGGCTGCTGACTCACGGCGGGAGTGCCAAGGCACTGCCTGCCCACCACCACAACTGCTCTCCCTCCTCCTCCTCCTCCGGCAGAGAACTCAGGGAAATCAGGTTTACCTTAGCAGTACCTTCTCCTAAGTCAAATTTACTGGTCCACATACCACGTCACCGATCCTCGTTCCAATCGCAGCTGCACTGGGGGAGGAAAAAAAAAAAAGTGACATAAAACTGGCAGGGGGCAAGAAGCAGCAGGCAGGGTTAGAGAACAGGCATTTTTGTAAAGCCATCGTTACCACAAAGAAAAATAAAGTCACAACCTCAACGGAGCAACAGTGAATATTTAAAAGGTTATACGTAATTTAGTGGGCAACAATAAATTAATCTCAACCTCCAGGAGAAAAAAAAGAAGAAACATAGAATCATAGAATTGTCTAGATTGGAAGGGACCTTTAAGATCATCTAGTCCAACCACCAACCTAACTCTGATAAAAACCCATCATAACATGCTTTTACTTTGTCTATAAGACACACGTGAACATCATTAACGTGACCACAGGCTACCTAGGCATAGGTTACCTCTTGACTTCATGTTTTTAAGAACACTTGGGACAAGCACATCAAGAAAATTTTTCACCCTGTCCCAAAGTCCCACTTGGGCTGGCATTTCTGCATTTCCACAAACAGCTCAGCAGGTGATTGGTACGACTCAATCCAACAGACTTCATGAGAGGGCTGACCCATGTACTCTGACATACGCACAGATAATCTGTGATACGCTGTAGCAGGGTTATATTATTGCTAATGTCACTTAATTTGAAGCTGCTTTGTACTAGTAATTGAGCGCTTAGCCCTTCAACTCATGCCATGAAATTGCAGCGAAAGCCTTTGCATAAACAGGGCAAGATGTTGAAAATACAAGCAGCCTACTGTTGAAAAATATTTGATACAAAAAAAACCCCCACAAATCCAACTGAGATTAAGGCATCAATTCTCTCAAGTCTGGTTAGTTTCCTTTGGTTAGAGGAGGAAATTTAATAAGCAGAATAAGGCTGGTGACGAGTAGAGCTACAGCTACTCTTGACCAACCTTGCATTCACATTCACTGCGTCATCACAGTAACCATGTTAATGAAAAACAGCCCATCTGTCTTTTCACACAGAAATTTACGTAGAAATCAAGATTCAGACCACAAGATAAGGTATCAATTGAGAAAATACAGCAGAGCTAGGGCACTTTCCCCTGGACCTGACAATCTTACATTGGTAAAGAACTTGCACTGCATGTCATACACATCTCCTCCGCTACAACAAGTTGTGAAACTTTTTTTTTTTAAATTACATTTTTTCTTTTATTTATCCTGGCTACCATGACAGGCATGGCAAATAAATCACATTAGACAGTAATACGTGTGGTTGAGATATGTGGCAGTGTTTTGCTTTTATTTCAGGAATAACAATGCTAGAACATCCAGGAAAACAGCTCATACAAGAACAGTTCAGTGGTTTGGAGATACTGGAACTAACGCATCGCATTTAAGAGTCAGCTTTGCTACACTTGGAAAGAATTCTGGTGTTTTGGACACATGTGGAACATGAGAAAAGTTACCTACATCTCATGTGCAAAACTCAAGATATGCCATAAGAACAATTACGAAATAAAAAAAGAATTGTACATTCAGCAGAAGAGACATCATCATCACCAAAATCAGATGGGTAGGTATTTCAAATCCGAGTAAACATTAATTTAGCTTAAACATGCTTTCCATTAATTTTTAAATTTTACTTCCATTTTTGAGTACTTCCTAAAGAAAAGTATTTTCTGAAAATCTATATTAAAGTGAAGGTGGTAATTCCCATGTTAAATTAGCATAATACTAAATTGTAAACCAAAGCAAAATAATATTACTTCTATTGACTTATTTTAGTAACTTGTAAACAGTATTCTTTGTACGAATGGCAATGAGAAATTTCTTACATCAGTATTGTTTGAAAAGTAATTGAAGTGCATTCTAAAAATGGATTTTCGTTGTTTTAAATAGCTTCTATCATTGATTTCTCAAATTAGACATAATTTTATTCTGACATGGAGATAATTCTCTTTCATAATCCCAAACCTTCCAATCTATTGTTTTAAGAATGCTTCAGAAATAAAAAGCCATACAAAATCTTCTATTAAAAGCTAAGATTTGCCAATAGTGCTCTCTTGGTTATGGAAATACCATGGGTTTTTTTCCTATTTATTATTCTACAGTCATTATTTTTAAGTGCTCGTTTTTTCATCTGAGACTGTTTCGTTGTTGTTATAATCCAGAAACATAACACCATCTCTGTTATGAACACTACAATGAAAAAAAAAAAAAAGCAGACAATTTTTTTTTATAGAAAGAGAACAACCCTGAGGCTTGAAGATTCTATTCTGTTGGTCACAACATTCAAAAGCATTAAGTAAACCAATAAGATACTGGTACATCATTTCACAGTTTCAAAATTTTGATCTAAATATATAGATTCATGAGGTATGCACAAGCAGACATTAAGACTGACTTACACAAATCCTTGGAAACACAAGCCACAGAAAAGGAGGGTTAATCTCACTTAAGTGTCTCCACAGAATTCCATAGATCTTTCCGTATCTTGCACCAGTAGAACAAAGCAGTTGGGCTGTGGATTGTCTTAAAGCCTTCTAACACATGAATCTACAATTTGAATTCATGGAGGTATAGTAAAGTCATTCTGAATGACAAGAATTGGCATTGGCTTTTTTTAAAAAAAAAAAAAAAAACAAACCAAAAAACCCCAAACAGCTTCATGGAAATAAAAGGGTACAGAATCAGTAACCACAACCTGCTGCCTTCCCCTTTCTTTGTCTCAGTTGTGTCCCATAAGAATCAAGAGCAAAGTTCTTATTAAGTGTATAACACAAATATTTTCCTTTCAGGTGCTCTCCCCTCTCCTTACTCTTTTCCCCACTTTCAAAATGCATCTCCAAGCTACTAATATCCCCGTAAAGAGATTTAACCCATGTTAGTCACCTTAGGTTAAACAGCGTAACATCTTAATCTCCAAGTACCATACAAGGAGAGCGATGCTGATCCTTCCAGGTTCTTATCTTTTCTAGTTCATTAGGGGATTCACAATAGATAATACCTAGTCATTATTATGTAGTTACATTTCTAGCCAAAAGGGACAAATTTATAATAGAAAAATGCCATCTTGAACCTACAGGGGGAAAAAAGCAAACAAACCTAAAGGAGTTTAGGTCCTAATCCTGCAAACATGCAGTTACTCAAAAACAATTAAATCATGTTCTTCAGAACATAAGAAAGAAAACTTTTGAAATGAAACAAAATAAAGCTTCACAAAAATGAACAAATCCTCTGCTTTTTTGCATGGTTGGAGTTCCCTGTCCAAAGAAGCAGACATATAAATAACCATTTCTTAGCAACAACTTCCCTTTTCTCTTTATCTGGCCTTTTTTCTTCACAGATCCCTGGAGAGTAAATGTTAAGTCTCAGCACTCCAAAACAGAGAAGTTGATTTTATTTATTAAGTTAAGATCTGCCCCCCCTCCCCAAATATGGAAAAAAAAATTGAAATACATGATAAACAGACTTTCAGGGGTTTTTTATTTATTAAAGCCAATTCCTATATTTTCTTCATAAGAATTACTCAGCTTGTGTCCATGGTATTCTTGCCCAAATTTCAAGTTGGTCTAAGCAGGCATGAAATCCAGACTGTCACCCCATATGTCACTTTTGCTACAGAACAGCAAACCTAAGATCTTAAAAAATTATACCTCTTAATCAAAGCTAGATGATCACTTCTCCAACCAGGTAGGTATTTATAAAAACACTTGTTACTTCCCTATTTTTCCATTCCCATCTTTTTGGAGTCCTACTGTTATTGTGGTATATAATAAAGAGGGTCAGGTCAGACCATGCCAGCTCATTGTCTCACACATAATGGTTCCAGCCAACACCCTTACTTCAGATATTTCTCTTTCTGTCAAGCTTCCCATCCCTTCACTATTGCATCAGACTGTCTTCCAGTAATTCATTCAAACTCTCCCTCTGCCAATTTCTCCCTTTGTACTTTCTATGGCAGTCATTTTGCTGTCCTCTGCTCTTTCAGACAGTGGGAAAAATGCACTGAAAACACAGCAGAGAGCCTCATTCCTCATTTCCATGGCACAGCAGCCAAGAGGAACAATTTCAGGTAGACAGCAGCTCAGCCCCTGCAGGATTCTGTTAACACGCTCGTTTTCAAAACTTTTTTCAAATTCTGACCCATTAAAACATTTGTCACTAGAGACAAAATACTGTGAATTAAAACCTGACGACAGGCTTGAGTATCAAATGTATCTTTTGAGTTTCCCAGAAGCAGCTTAAGTTTCTTGCAGTGGGTCTGCGGATCACAAGCAGAGACCTATTTGAGGTAGAGGGATATTGAGTTGCTCTCTGTGTATAATACAAGTGTGGTCTGGTTGGTGCCCTAGAGATTTGAGAGGAAAAAAAATGCATGCTCAGTGGAGATGAATATCCAGAATATAGAACAAAATATGTAACAAGAAGTCACGTCTCCAGCTCCAAGAGCTATTCCATTGTATTTCAAATCCCTAATTCAGATTTTGAAAACGGAAAAGGCTTTTAATGAAATGTGTTACCTAAATTCATTCTCATACACAGATTAGTAGTTTTACCGGAAACTTTACAAAATAAAAAGGAAGTCTGGCATACTTGGAGTCCAAAAGAAAGGAAGTTAGACAAACTTCCAAACAGCTGGAAGCAGTTTTGCTAATGAACATCAGGTAATCATAACTAAAACTTCAATACCAGCTCCACATCTGCATTAAGCAATCATTAAAGGCAGGCTTTAATGTTTAAGTTTTTTAAGGTTACAGAAAAGATTATTTACATAATTAAATTTGATACTTAATACTACCTTGTCCTTCTCTCATTGGCAGTGATTGCTGTCAACTCTGCAACATTGTGTATTACAACATAATAAACAGCGAAGAGGTTACTAACAAGACCCTATGCTTTGTTTTTGAACCCATTATAAAACTGTAACATCCTACACGGAGTTGTAAACAATCTCATTTACAGAAAAAAATGAAAAGGTGTCCCCACAGGTAAAAAGAAATCCTTTTAGGAAAGATAGCAAAGTACTCAAAATATAGTTATAAAATTTTGGCATAGGTTTACTTGCATGGTCCATGTCAAGAAACTGTATGGAGAGGATGTGGAAGATGGGTAGAACGGCGAAGAATGGAGTAATACGGTTGGTTACAGCATTAAGCTACATGTTCAGAATTCTCTATATATAGAAATACAGAAAGACATTCTGCAGAGCCAGATAGTAGAGAGCAATTCATAATAGCTAGCCACAGTGCACTGAATTCCTTTTTTTCCTTAGCAGTTGCTTGAGAGATACATTAGGTAATAGCACTGCCATGCTGCCAGATAATACCAGAATTATGAAATTTATCAGCACAGCAATTTTACTGTTAAGAAGACTCCTAATAAAGATCCTAATGAACAAGAAGAGTTTTACCAGGAGCATACAAAGTCAAGTTACATTGATACCATAGATATTATCTCTGTGCTTTAAAATCCTTTTAGTATTTCTACATTCATTCCACTGGAAAAAAAAATAAAAATCAAGATAAATCAAATACATACAGAAACACACGCACTCAAATGGCACTCATTGCTTTTTGTACAATTAAGCTTTAGTGAAAATATACATCTTAAAACAAATGAAGTACAAATGTACAAAAATCCTTGAACTCAGATAAAAAATATATATAATACACTTTGCTACAGAGATATAAAACATTTAAAGTTTGCTCATCCTTTCTGATGAGAGTAAAATGATTTAAAGTCTGGAGGACTCCTGCTCATCATCGCTGCAATCGGATTTAAAGCAGACCTGCAAGAGAAGACAAAGAGACAACTGAGCTGCAGAACTGACACTGTTGCTGGTTTGTGTGTTTCATGGGGCACAGAAAGGCTGGGGTGGAGGTTGTGTGGCTCTTTTTCCAGCACATTTTACTTCATACTAACTAAACGCTTTGGGAATAAGGAAACCATGACCCAAACCCAAATCTCAAATCATTAAAGTTGCATTTAACCTTAAGATCTTTCCTTTTTTTAACTTAACAGGACAATTAACTGCAGTCTTACTACTTCAAAACCAACTTAAGACTCTCAACCCATGTTTTGGGGTTTTTTTGTTTTTTTTTTTTTTTTTGGTTTTTTGGTTTTTTTATTCTTTCTCAATACATAGACCCGTATCTTGGAACAGTATGAATCCTGCTGATTCAGCTTGAAAAGATTACAGTAAGACACAAGCTTTAACTTCAGGTATGCAAGATTATTAGTACACTTAACCATTCCTTCTATTCCATTACTGTAAGTGGGGGAAAAGTGAATTTGAAAAGGTGAACTAAAAATGACAGTACTATTATACATTCCATTAGCATCGTACCATTTTAGAGAGGTGAATTACCAGCTGACAACAAAAAAATAATATCATCATGCAATTTTAATACATGGCCCTGTTGTGGCTACTTAATGATATGCTCCTGGCAATTTAAAAATTCCATTTCTGCTTGAAAGCAAAAGTGATTTCTGCAGAAGTGTTCTCTACTGGAATATGCTCATGCTTCTCAAGATAATTCCAACTCTGAGTGCCGTCACACTGAGCAAGCAGAATTGTGTACAACTTCAACTGAAAAAAAATCTCATGACCTACAAACAAGCACAATATGCCAGGTGTCTTTTAGGTGGTAAATACTCAATTCATATGCCTCTAAATGTTCCACGTATTATCTATTTACTCTGGCTGGGTACTCCTATCAAACTTACAAATTCATCAGCCAAACAGAAATGAGGCCCCCCTTTTACAGAGGGGGCCTCAATTATCTCTGAAGTCATCTCCCCAGGAGTTTTTCTAAAAACTGGCAAAATATGTAAAAAGCAAGACCCAAACCTTCATGAAAGAAAGATGTAGAGCACAGCCATTAACAGCATACACTAGCTTTCCCCCAGCTAACAGCTAGCAGACACCAGAGAAAGACTGAAGGCTGAGGGAGGAACCACTCCTGGAGTTAGAGGGATTGCTACAGTTTCTGGAACGCAGTACAGGGGCATCATCATAATAAACTGGATTTAGTTAGTTTCAGTATTCAGTGAACAACTTGTTTTTCCTACCACAAAATAATATAAAAAATGGAATGGGTGGTCTTACTGGTAATTTTCTTATGAAATAAATTAATACCCTTACCTCTCCACTAAAAAGTCTGTGAAAGAAGCCTCTCTTTGGCTTAGGAGACCTCTCTCTCTCTGGTGACACAGTACCATCAGTTTCATATGCGTTGATATCTTCAAAGCATCCCGTTTCAATCATCTTTAAAACATATGAAATATAAATGAAATATACATACAAGCTTCTCAAAACACATCCCATGTATTATCTATTTGCTCTGGCTGGGAAGTCCTAACAAACTTACAAATTCATCAGCCAAACTACACCCCTCGCAGAGCTCCATGAAGGCAGGCAAAATTTATCTCCTTGTGCATTCAGCAAACTGAAAAAGAGCAATGAGAGCACTATGATGCAGGTAAGTACTCAGATGCTCCCTTGCTGTGGTTGGGCATTTCTTCTGCCCACGATGCAATAAGCACAAGTTTTTATAACTAGAAATTGATTTTCCTTTCATCTATTCTGCTCAATTCAGAGCAGTCTAGCCTAAAAAATATAATATTGCTATACCCTGGACTGAACTTTATTAATAACCATGACATTGAGTATGGTATCGGGGGAATACTTTTTCACAAAGTGGACAAACTGCACTCTTGGGAAAAAAGCAGCTGATCTCTGACCACAGTTAACTCAAACATCATTCTGGTGTTTTGGGCAACCGTTTATCAAAACAGAACTAACATATAATATAATTAGAAATAAGGCAATGAGAAAGAGAAGGTAATACTTCATGAAAAAAAATTAAAAAAACAACAAACATATAAAGAAGCTAGGTCTCTGGTGACAAGCAAGGGATTTTGAAATAATCTGTGTTTGTATACACAGAAAACAAAAGAATTAAAACCACAATTACTGGGTGCAGAAAGGGCAGCAGAAGGAGTAAACGCCAAAATGTAAAACAGACGTGGTCAGGAGGAGAGGGGTTAATGCCCACAGGTAGGTTGGCTTTTATCAGTGAGTGCCACTGATACACATCTATCATAATGAGCATGCAACCAAATGAGTATACCTTGTAGAGGGAGAGGTTCCATAAAGAGGATTAAGAAGAAATGTGGTCTGCTTTTGTTGTAAACCATGACCTTAGGTAAATTATGGGGGGGAAGAGGAATTCTTAAGAGACTGAGAGCAAAGATTTGAGGGGAAGCTCAGTAACATGAACTAAAAGAAAAAATAAGCACAAATGCAAAATGAAGTCTGCAGAATTACTCCCTGAAGGCAAGGAATTACCATCCCCAGAATTCCACAATGACTTTCTACTTTATCCCTCTATGCATGGTTAGAGTTAGTAAGCTGTGGTGCATTTCTTAATGACTGGATCATACCCTGAATTTCAGAATTACAACACAGCACAGGAAATATTTGTTTCTCCAACAGTTCATTGCTTCTTAGTGAAGACTTTCTATGTCAAATGACACCTTGCAAATCTCCTTAATGAAATGCAAAAAAAACCAAAAGGGAAACAAAAGAGAATGTACTTTTTTCTCTGACTTGTTCAGAAATCGCTGATCTTTTGTGTTCAAGCTTTAAATGAAATTTAAACAATCATATCAGGAAAGAAACTACATTAGTACAATTAAAGACAATACTGATTTCAGAAATTTATGAACATGTTCTAATAGGAGGAAGGCATTCACAAGAACTAGATTCATTTTAGTTCTAGTAACTAGAATTGTACTGAGTGCTCCTTCTGAAATAATGAAGATTTGAATTTCCCAAATATAGACTGAACTGCACGCAGAGGTAGCAAAATTCTAGTATTCTATGCAGAATACTAGAATACTCATTCACTAGACAGATGAAAAAGCTTTAAGAAAAAGTCTGACTCAATCGATGTTTAATTGTTTGTTTTGAAACCTTAGAAAAAGTGAAATCTGCAGTATCACCTGGATACTCTATTGACATACAGGCCTGATACACAAACAGCTTGCACTGCACCTCTTTGCTTTTGAATACTTTGGAGAGCATTCTACCCCTCTCCTATGAACAGCAATAGTGAATAACATGTGATGGAAGAACAAGGAAAATATGGTGATACTGATGCTAAATACTGTTTTGTGGCTGTATCTATGATGACAAGATGCGAGATTCTATTTATGCAAATTTACCATAGATCTCAATTTTTGACAAGTTGTTTATGTTTTGGGAAAAACTTTTCTCTGAAGCCTCTCAGCAATGAAGTCTAAATAAATAACTTCTTTACATCTCACAGCGAAAGTTAATACTCATAATTATATCCCTTCTTAAATCTTCTATATTGCTGTGCTAAAGAAAGTAACGAAGTTTTTGATGAAATATACAATACCTCATTTTGCCAAGGGATTGAGACACAACCCGTAACAAATTTGGAATAGAAGTCATCATCTGTAGTATCCAGGTTCACTCCTTTTACTGTTGAGAACTGCTCTATGTCCAGGACATCTTTACAATACACGGCACGTGGCTGCAGTACAATACAAGATCACTTCATTAAGATTCTGGGTTGGTTGGGGATGTGTGTGTGTGTGTTTTGGGTTTTTTGGTTTGGTTTTGTTTTTTTTACTTTCTGAGCAGAGCAGGAATTAAATGTCTGCAATTTTATATTTGACATTGCTGATCACCAAATTACACTATGCTACAAAACAGAAATGGAAAAACTTAAAAGACTCTTGTCACAAGGCACCTGAGTGATTCAATCCATCCTGCAAGTAACAGCAAAGAAATAGCAAAACCAGAAGCAGCACGCAACTGCTCTGGGTTTCTTAATGGCTGTCATAATTCACTCATCTTCTGTCACCCTCCTTTCAAATCCAGAGTAATTTCTTCAAAGCTAATCTTCATTTGTTCAGCACCTAACCTAGGGAAGTAGACTTTCAAGGGCTACGAAATCAGCCACAAAGCTCCCTACACAATACCACTATTGAAAATTGTTCTGTGATCTCAGATAGAATGTCACAAAACAACTAGCCATCAATAGCTACAATGGCATTCTTCTGCCAATTGAACTAACTTAGAAAGGTTTCTCTGGAGTTCACATGACTGCTGACACAGAATTATGACAGTTCTTGCCTTTTTAGATAACTAATCAAATCTGTCTCACCTACTTACATCTGGCAAGAATGGAGGTTCTAACATGTTAGCTTCTAGCCTCTTGAAGTTAATATTCTTGAAAATAGGATGTTGCTTTACAACAGCAGCTCCATCTTCAGTGCAACCCAGTCGCTCCCCTGGATTTTTAGCAAGTAACTGCAAAGATACGGAAAAAATGGCTGCTCCAGTGATATAATCCCACAATAATAATAAAAAATAAAATCTATATACAACATCTTTCCAGTAAGTTTATTTGGTTATTTGGCCTTTTATTAGATGAAACTCATCACGGTATCAAAATGAACCGGAAATCCAAACTACAACATTCTGGGAGCAAAAAGATTTTTCAGTAGACAAAAGAATCCTGAAAGTAGATCATTTGAAAATTATGCCCAAAGTGATATGAAAATATTTCAATTGATGCCATGCTAAATAGACTCTACAGTACAGACTTTGTAGTAGACTTTACTTTCAGGAAATACGGAGTTACTTAAGCCCACTGGGCAAAAAAAAGTAATGCACCTATTTTGCATAAACTAGTAAAGAAAGCTTTTGAAGCTTTCTGTATAGACACGTTTCTTACTAAATTTAAGAACATGCAAAATAGAAGTCTGCTGTTATCTTGTACAGGCTATATTAGGCAAGGAAACTAGTATACTCTGCCATTTCTTCACATACAGTATCAAAGCTGAGCATGCTATTGTACTCCACCTATAACTACATGCGGTCCAAGGAGTACTGAACCTTTTCATTCATGTGATGAAAAATCCATTTATGCAGCCTTCCTTCATCTTGAAAAAAGTTCTGAATTCTCAAAGTTTGATAATTGAACAATCCATGGGGAATCACAAATTTCCATCTGAACTGAAGAAAGATTTAAGAACTCCAACTTCGAAAAATTTTCAATAGAAGATGTTAAAATAAAGTAGTTCATCTCTTAAAAAGGATTAGAAATTTGATTTTCAAACCTCTATGTCTCTTCACCCACCATCCTGCAGATGGACTTTGCCTCCTCTGAGAACTTGTCTGAGTATGTTTCCTGGTCTTCCTTTACTCTCCGGTCAATCTCATCCCGTTTGACCCTTTCCTTATGCTTCCTGAATGGAGATTGTCCTTCAATCATTTCATAAATCAAGCACCCAAGACCCCACCAATCCGGGCTGAATGTGTACTTTTCATTTTTGAGCACTTCTGGAGCTACAAAACAAAAACAAAGGAATCCCCATGACAATTCATTTTAAATTAACTAATTAAATATTGAAAAAAAATCTCAGACACTCATTTGGCTTTGTGCAGAGATCTTTGCATAACTCCTCCGTACTTCGAAGAAATGTTAATTTCTACAGCAAGGGCTCTTTATATCCAAAAGAGGCACTTAAGTTCTTTAACATTTAGGATTGGTATTGTTTACAAACTAAGAATGAATGTCTTCCAAAGCATGGAAAAAATTGTGTCGTCATAGTAATTCATCTGCTTTCCCATGACCCTAAATCTCTTTCAACCTCACAAAAAAATTCAGTGCCTTCTTGAAGTTCTACCTAAAGCTAGAATTTTCAGAGTTAAGTTTTCAAGTTTATCAGCAGGCTTATAATTGACTACTAACATCTAACATAACATAACCTTTCTTCCCATAAAATGTCTAGTAACTAATCCAGAACAAATATAGTTCTTTGAACAAGTCATTCACATATTCACAGAAGCAAATTTTCTGGTAAAACATACTAGCAAAGGATACTTTACATACCCATGTAACCAACAGTCCCAACCCGCCCTCGGACCGTTTCTCCTTCTGGAATCTGCACAGCTAATCCAAGATCTGAAATTCTGATATGTCCTATTTATGTTAAAATAAATTACACATGGTCAGCAAATAACAAAATATTGTCACTTTTAAAACAAAACATATCTGTAGCATACCTCATCAAAAAAGCCACCCCAAAACAGCAAAACATTCATATACTCCTGCCACTAAGGTTATTTAACTGAACTAGAAAAAAGTGATTTACCATTATTCAACCATCCCTTAAATACGTAAAGGAAGAGAGGCACAGATCTAACTGATTTCCTGAAGGTCATACAAAAAAAATTTGCAGTTAAGTACTCCAATTGCTGGCTTTGGCATAGGCTGCTACTCTAGGACAAACAGAAATGATGACTGCTCATTTCAAATTCTGTATGTACACATCAGATGCTTGCATTTTTCTGTTCTGCATTCCCACTACAAACACTTGGCTTTCTGGCTTCCTAACAAAACATCAGAATTTACTCCATTTATTCCAAATATGAGAAAACTGTAGCCTGTACTGAGACATCAGGTTTTCCTCTAATATGCTAAGCACAAGTAACTGGAACTGCTATCCCCACTCCCACCCCAAAAGAAAAGTAGCCTAGCTGTAACCTACTTATTCTTATTTCTAATTTAACATATTAGTTCAGTATTAGGATTTCCCCATCTCATGAACGAGTCCAATGTAGATAACTTCAGCTTCTATTTGACTTTATAAGCCAACTTCTCAAGTTGACTACCTTTCCTATTGTGCGTGGCATTTACAGTAGTACCTATGTAATGCTGAAGTAGTGTAGTGGAAGACTATGATTTATTACAAAGAACACTGCTCAGATGGGGAAAAAGCCCAAGAAGGGCAATGGGAATAAGTTCATCCCACCCTCCCTTACATCCCCATGGACAGATATAGCTCTTTGCTGGACAGACTCTACAGCAAATGATTCAAGACAATTCAAGCCAAGAACTGTATCGACATGTTTCTAATTTAAAAATGCATAATGTACTTCCTTAATAAAAATATAAAAGGTTAGACAGAAGAAAGGACAATTACATTTTCAACTCATTTTTAAAACACTAAATTGGCAGTCATCTGTAGTAGAAAGATTCAGAGGGGAAAAAAAACAATCCAAACCAAAACCGACACTTATCTCTAGTACTGGATATAAGGACAGGATACCTTCCTTTACAGAAACATCACAGATTCACAGATTAATTCAGGCTGGAAGGAACTTCAGAAGGTTTCTAGTACAACCTTCTGAGCCAGCAGTCAGCCCAAACTGTTCAAGGGTTTTTAAATTCTCATGGAAAGCCTCCAAGAGTGGACACTGCATCACCTCTCTGGGTAGCCCATTCCAATGCCAAAATGTCCTTTGTGCATATATACTCTGGCATTCAAAAAGCTCTACAGCATCAGTGTTAGTTAGAAGCATATTAATTTCTTATTTACATGTGACAGATAATCAAGGGGTGGGCAGGGAGAGTGGAGAAAGTCAAGTGCCACTCTATATACTGGTTGGAAATAACTAAATGCTCTTGAGCAGCAAATGCTATTTTAAATTCACTCAGATGCTCTTCTGTTCTCTGACATCTGATGAACCCCTTTTCAAGTGCAGGATCTGAGCTCCTGAAGCGATTTTCTAATTAGTCTCCTGTGCTCTCTGGAACAAGATCAGAATATCCCTGGCAGAGAGAAAGCATTCTAGTGCAGTCCTGCAAGGCCACATTTTTCCTCAAAGAAGTCTTTGGCTTTTGCAAGATACTGCTGGAGAGGAAAATGAAAGAATGCATTTGATGTTTAGCAAAGCTTTAGCTCTTGACTTCTCCCAAGCATCACCTTTTTAGTATTTTATCAGTCAGAACATGCTGACTTTAAAAAAACATAAATTGTGCTAATGACTTCAAAACAGTTTTGCCTTAACTAAAACACTCAACAATTACAAGAACTGGTATTATTCATCCACAGCTTAGAAGAAGGTAATTTCTGCACACGTTCTACAGTGAATTCAAAAGATTGGGTAAATTTTATACAAAGTCATTAAAGAAAATTAATTTGGCTTTTGAAAAATAAAACCCCACAAACACTTATTCATATTACTTGTACTTCCTTGATTCCTTCCAGCCACATACACATCACTGACCATCACACCTGTTTTAGTTGAAATGTTAAACAGAAATGCTTCAGATTTCTTTTCTTCTTTATTGCTTAATTATAGTTTATGAAGTAAAATTCTGGCCCCACATCTAACAAATTACATTTTCATAGTAAAAGACAAAGACAAAAAAAAATCCATAAGAAAATTTTAGCCATCTTAAATCAGGGATGGGGGGAGAAGGAGGAGCAAAAGGGGAAAAGTAGTTATTTTAAGGCAGGAAACTGACCTCCCAAACATCATCACTGTCATCTCCTAACACCACAGTATTTCCCCCTACTTTCCAAAAAGCAAGGACAGTTTTTATTTAGTTCTAAAGTTAACATTTCTCAGTTAGGTCCCTTTTGTTATGAGGAAACATAACTTTAATTTCTGGCACAGTATTAATTAGATTTGTAATTCCCCATTTCAAAATTAATTTTAATATTTACTTACCGCAGTCATCAAGGAGTATATTTTCAGGCTTCAAGTCTCTACAAATCAAACAGAATAGAAACATGAATTATACAAAGGCAAAATTATTAGCCATCATCAAGTGCAACTGAGGCGATGTAAGACTTCTTCGCTCCGATTAAAGCTATTTTTCCAGTTTCCACCTATATACAAAAAAAAAGTTGTGAAGCTGAAGACCTATACTGCAAATGGTTTAACACCACAGAACTCTTGAGATCCATTTTTTCAAACTCTCTAATCCATTTATATTAACAACAGCAATTAATATTTCACAGATGAGAAGCTTTCTCTACACAACACTAAAATCCTGGTATAAAGAACCACCAATTTACACCCAAATTTGTGCTCATAAATGAAAGGTATTTCTCCTGAAAGCATAAGCAATACAATTCCACAATGGTAAAACACATCAGTGCCTGCTGCAGTTTGATGCTGACCCCTTGCTGTATTCCACCCCATGGTATCAAATATCAACAGAGGGTAATACTCCCAAGACTAAGCATCAGCTTCGTATCTCCCATTCCTCCTCCATTCATTTGGATATGCAGCTTCTAAAGCTTACTAGACACTTGTATCTAGTTAGGATTCTTTGCTGTCAACTTTTTAAGAGTCTCTACCACTTTCCTGTAAACACAAAAAGCTTTCAGACGAAATTTATTTTAGCTATTAAATGCTAGCAAGACTCAGGAAAGAGCAAAAAGGGCAATTCATTCAGTGTTGCAATTCTGCATTTTATAGGCGTCTTCTTGTACATTTTTACTTTAAGAACAAAAGAAGAAAATCAGTGGGATATTTGGATTCTGAACCCCTCTTCCCCACAGGAAAATTTGTGGAGTCACTATAGCTGAATCAGAAGCTGTCCAAAGGTTACTTCTAGGATTTATCCTCTAGCAGATTCTACGGAGAACATACATATTTTATATATATATTATTTATATGCAGAGATTATATGTATAAAACATAATATATATTATATATATAATTGTGATACACATCAGAAAGTATGTGGATTGCAATACAGTTGTATTTATTCCACCATAGATATTGTAAGGCCAGAAATAGCCAAGCAAAAATCAGCACTTGGCTAAAGAGTCAGTTATGAATGAAATATATTATTAAAAACAATAAGTATATAAATGTATAGTTGTGAGAAAAAGTTATTAATATACAAGCAGAAAAGATTGAATAATGTAAAATAAGCTATTTCAGAAAGACTGACTCCAGAATTTACATTCAAAATGAGAGAAATATACACATATATTTGTTTACCAAGAAATCCGTATGCTTTTTTTTTTTTCCAAATACCAATAAAATGATGCTCTGAAGTACGTGTAGCCAGGTCAAAGTTTCATTATTTCATGAGATCAACTGTATAAAGTCAGCAAGACATGTTCCTCCTAATACTTTTAAGTCTAGACAGTCCCCATAATGTTAATCATTTGACATTAGATATGAGATTCCAATACAAGAGACATCAGGAGAGATCAGAGTATAAAAATTAAAAAAAAAAACCCAAACAAAAAACCCCACACCGGTACCAAAAAAGATAAAGAAAATTCAGCTCAAACTTTAGGTACAAAACCATCTACTTTAAAGCACGTAATATATTCCCAGGTTAACTCAAGTAAACATGTTTAAGGAGTTCCATAGCCTTTAAGGTTGATTAAAGCCTAACCTAAAACTTAATACTTACTAGCAACTTCTGCTGCTTAATAGAAGCTAATGCTGTTCTGACATGATTTTGATCAGTCAATAGTAAAACTTGTTTCTAGCCAAAATTCCAGCTCTTTAATGCTATTAGTTTCTAGTCCTAGCAGTTTTGCTAAGAATTCAAGCTTTTGGAAACATTTAGCTATAAATTCTAGGTCTGAGGTCCTGGCTTTGTGGTATCAGCCTTCTCCCTTTCCCCTTCCTTCATCATGACAGAGGCCAAAGTCCCAGTTTCTGCTGGAATACACAGATGCTAGTCCCGCACTGGGCAACGGGCTCGGAAGGAGAGCTGGCAATGCAACTCTGGCAACAGGGGCAGCAGTTTTCCCTTATGAAGCAGAGAAAGGTTGGAGGACTCCAAAGCTCACAAAACTAAGAGGCTCATTAAAAAGACTTAGAAATTATACATTTATTTTAAATTGGACTAAACAAGCAGTGGTCTATTTTTGCTATAGCTTACACCAGTTCTTCCTCTAGAGAAAGTTTCTGAATAAAAATCCTTCAGGGGATTTAACTGTAAAGTTGTCTACTCTGAGCATAGGCACGAGGCAGGCAAGGAGCTACTTGGTTTGTCCACTACAGCTTCAACAGGTCTCTGAGCCTGATCTTTGACCTTCCAGGCACATACGGTGGTGCTATGGGCACCTACATGAGTTTGTGAGGAAAATGTAGGTATCCAAGCAGCTTATCCGATAAAAAACACTACCATCCTTGAGGACTTAGGAGAACCCCACCAATTAAGTCTCTTTTGGAAAGCAGTTCACTTGTTCCCTACTCTGTCTTAGAGCAAAGTCAGGATTTGTATAAGTCTTATCAGACTTTTTATGTAGCAGATGGATGAATAGCTCCACTGCTGCCTGTTCCTGTCTGTTTGCTTATTTTTCTAATATCAGCAACATATGGCAAGTTAGAGTTTCACGAGCTACCACAGAACAAGCAAACCGGCTCAATTGCTGTCACAGTCTGCTTCAACAGTGAAAGCTATTCTTCCAAAAAGAGAGTTTTAAACTCCTCCTTTAAAGCTGGAAAACAAATGCAGTAGTAGATTTTGAGATACGGCAACAAGGAAAAGAACTCACTCCAATTTCAGAAATTCAGTGGTCCTACCAGTATTAAATACTTTCAAAATGATAGCAAAATAAGAAAAACATTCTTTCTGCATTTTCATGCCCTGCAAAATGAGAAATATTAGTTGCCAAATTTTGGAAAAATAAATCATTGAATCAATGAAAATGTGCTTCATTGTGTTCTCCCTGCCTTCCAACAACATCAAAACTGGAGGCTGCCAGCATAACTTCTCTGGTGAGAATAAAATAATTATGGCAAATTATCCCAAGCTTTCTGTTTCGCTAATCATATGTAATCACTGTACTGCTACTTAAATGCATTTCCATTACGATGTCCAATAGAGAATTTTGATTGTGTAACATATCACTGTAATTGTGACAGGCTGAAGACTTCCATGACCACCTGTTTTGGCTTCTTGACTTTAAAACTGTAAAATTTACAACTACACTCCTAAATGCATGATGCAAACAGAAATACATATAGAAAAAAATAATCAAGAAAAAAACCTACCATGAGCAAAAGAGAAGAAACAAAACTTTGTTTTACAAAAAGTTGGTCATTTGATATTAAAAAACAGGGCTGAAAGTGATTCTGCAGAGAGCGTAAAATTTTCCAAGCATTTTTTAGTTTTAGTACTCAAGCACAGTTGAGCTGGCAGGGTATAATTAGAGTCTCTTTTTGTCTGTTTACATATTGGGCAGGAACTCCTTTAGTATGTCCTATACTGGATTGTTTAAGTTTAATCATAAAACCTGACGGCGTTATTTAAGCCCTTCTTTCTCCTCCGAGCATACAAATTATTCAGTTACTAACACACGTACAACTGTCTCTTGGTCCTTCATTTTTGTTATGAACAGAGGACTAAAAATAATTCCCATTATTTTAATTGCAATGTTTTTACTCAGAGTTGGTTGTGAATCTACTTCTGCCCTTGCTCATAAATTTAATGCCATGCAAATTCCTAGTAATTGGAAACTGATCGTTTATTAGCACAAAACAGGACAGAGATACAGACATCAAGACCGCTCCAAAATAAACCACAACCACTGCAAAATCTGGAATTACAGGCGGAGGACAATAAGATTTGACATTATGCATTTGAAGGTCTTCTTGTAGAGCAAATAGCTAACAAGTTGGGCTTAAACACAAGGGTTGTGGGTTTATTTTTGTTGTTTTTCTTTGGGTTTTTTTATTGTTGTTTTGTATTTTAAACAATCAGTTCTGTTTTCACTTGGGCAATATGAAATGACCTACTTGTAGCTCCATATGAGGGAAATGATGAGCAAAACCATTCATCCTTGCTTCCCTCCTACATGCCTGCCAAAACACACTGCGTAACATTGCAAGATTGGCCAAATTCTTTAGGGAACCACATACAACCACCAGCATAAGCCCGATTTATTCTGTGGTTCTGCCACTTTCTGCTGTGTGTATGTTAGTCCTTTGTCCTGGGGAGGGAAAAGACTAAAACCGTAACATTAAAGTTATACTTTAAATCTTCCTTGAGAACAAGTGGTACTTGGTGTTACACACCCGAAATATACAGAAAGTGTTCTTGGCCCACCACCAAGTTCGTTTTGCTTGCTCTGTAATATTAATACATGCCAGGGGTTAAACAATGTATGTACAGAGACAGAAAAGAGCACAAAATCATACAATCTAGATTACAATTCATGAGGCTTCTGACAGTTGCATTAATACAAAAGCAATAAAGTGTTTATTGGAGGAACATAAAATAAAAACAGAAGAAAGAGGGCAATATGAATTATAACTGACTTTCTATCCTCTTAGGGGTAACAAGCAATGCAGTAAGGGCCTTCTATAGCCTTCTGTGAAATTCTACTTTAAGGAGTGGGCAAGAATACAATTCCATGTTCCGAAAACAACTTTCACTATGAAGTTGAAGTCTAAACTCACTTTAGTAGAAAACAATTAATACATTCAATGGTAAACAGATGTGGAAAATTCAAGGTACGAGTAACTGTAAATGACACTCACCTGTAAACAATTCTCTCCTTCTGCAAATCCTCCAGACCACAGCACAGTTCTGCAGCATAGAAAATAGCCCTTTCTTCATCAAAGCCAGGATTTCCCATGTTATATATGTGAAACTTCAGATCCCCTCCATTCATTATAGTTAATACTAAACACAGGGCATCTTTCGTCTCATACGTATAGGATAAACTAACCTAAAAATGGGGTAAGGAGAGAAGACAATCATTATTCATTCATAAACCCCAATACAACTCACAGCTCTTTTTTTTTTTTTTCCCCTTCTCAATACAGGCAACATATGAATCCTTTTTAAATGCAAAAAAGAACAAAACAGCCAAGAAGAGAATCGCTCCTGTCCAGTACTTGAAGACAGAAAGTAATTCAGATGAATTTGCAGGCGCACACAAACCCTACATTATCACCATACTAAAGTTTAGTGACATCTTTTTAGATACCATAGAGCTCCATCTCCATCCAGACAATAGATTCACTGATGATGCACCTCAGCTGCACATTATCTATATTACTCTTTGTAAAGATAATGTGCACATATATCTTATTTTATTAATACCTCAGAAATTATGCATTGTTAAACCATTTTCCTGAACTTCTACAAGACTCAGAACTGCCCTACATTAGAGAAACTTAAAAAATTATTTAGATCAAATGTGTAATTTCTATTGCTCCTTCCGCCTCCCCAGATAACCACATATTTCCCTGGCTTTGAACCTGTCAACAGTAAAGACTTAGTGTAGTTCTTTATAGGCTTTCTTCTCACTGTATTTGGAATGAGGTGCTGATAGGGAAGGAACAAAAGTCAGTAGGATTTTTTTGACTCAATAAATGTATTTTAAAATGTTGTACAAGTACAAAAAGGCAATAACTCAGTAATAAGTCCAAACTCTTCCTTCAAAAGCATAAATCCAGTACTAAATAATAAAATGAAATAAATATACAAATCAGCTACTCAGGACAAGGGTTCCTATTTTTTTTAATACACAAAGTTTATCCGAAAATACATATATATATATATGTTTATAAATAGCTTCCATTACCCTCTACCACAGGTACTTTAAAATCCAATCTCAACAGCAATACAAAATTTATCAGTAAGTGGAATTGAAAACAAAACAAAATGCATTTCAAATTAACATTTAAATGACAACAATTCAATGAAAAAAAAACAACCAAAAATCATTACCTGGGGGAAAAGTTTAACTGGCATATCTTTGATCATTATAAGTTATTTCACTGCTTACTAATTAGAGCTACTAACAGACCATAATTTATGTGATAGTATCACATTAAAGTACTAAGACTTTCATTCTGTGGAATTTCTATTAAAAAGTTATGTTAATTGTTTCATATCCAACATACCTCTTTAAGCCTTAATACACAGAAAAGCAAGATAAATAACCTGAATTGATATACTAGTCAAATTTCATGTTTAGCTTGAAATGTATAAGCAATATAGTAATGAATGCTATGAAAACTATATAAAAAATATAAAAACTCTACTATTAAAAGTCACAGAAATGGATATGCAACTTCTAATGGCAACTAAGTGGGAGATTCTCATGAAGTCACCCCTTTGAAAGGGCATTTATCAATAACCTCCAAAAAGAAATCAGAAATCAGCATTAGTTACAAGAAAACAGGAATGTGGGTGGGAAGAAAGGGGTAAGAGAAGAAAACAGAGAGCAAAAGAGAGAGCAATGCATTGGAAGAAGAGACAGGGGGAAAAAAAAAAAAAAAAAAAAAAAAAAAAGCATTCATTTCCTAACTTTTGCTTCAAGAGGCTGTAATTACATCTGGGGCCCTAGTGCCAGTCACTATAAACACATCGTGAAATAACAGTCAAAAAAAAAAAAAAAAAAAAAACAGAAGGAAAAATTAGGATGGAATATAGTATGTGGAATATGCTCTTTATTAAATTTAGGCAAATATACTCAGTCATAGGCTGCAGCAGAAATAGAATTGAAGTGATTATTCGAGTCTGAGTACCACAAAATAATCTGGTCACCTTTAAATAGAGGACAAAGATTCAGTAGCATCAGCATGCTGAATTACAACCTAATGTTTTGGCTGTAAGGCAGGCAGACTACAACCGATTTCATATTGAATAAAAAAGCCCTCTGCACAGAGCTACTCATAATCACACACAAAACATACTTATTATTATATCAATCATATATCTCAGCAGTCCTGCATTCTAAATCGATTAAAAAATGTCTTGTGCCCACAAGGTCCTGGAAAAGACTGAAATGAAGCCAAAAAGCAAGACAAACTTCAGAGAATAAGATCAGAAGTAGATACTTACTACAAACCTACTATTCACTTTTTCTAGAATTCTTTTTTCATTTAGAGCCATTGATTCTCCTTTTCTCTTCTTTATTCTCTTTTTTTCTAGCTTTTTACAAGCATACATTTTTCCTGTTGCCCGGACTTGACAGGCACACACCTAAAAAAGAAGGAAGGTGTGTCAAAGCATTTTCTTAAAGAAGATAAAATTTTATTTTATTTTTTCACTCTTGAATGCTCTCAGAAAATGAAGGTCTGTAAGCTTCAATACAGAGCTTTCACCCATGAAACAACTTTGAAGGGCCACAGAAGCTGTAGCAGAGGTAGAAAAAGTGATTATACAGGAGCAAACCCATTTTTGTTGGGGTTGAACAGTTGAGTGAAACTGTGGATTTTGTGTTGGTGAAAAACCTGACTGTGGTAACAGTATATGTCTAGGCAAGCAGGACAGAGGACAAACACCCATGCTGCAACCAAGCTGAAGAAAGATAATGATAATTTAGTAACCCTCTCCCCCTTCAATATAGGGCTCTGTTTAAAGCATGCAGGGGGAAAAAAACCCCACTAATGAATTATAAACAGAATTAACAAAAGCTATAGATTTTCCTACCAGGCTAATGAATATTCTACATAACAGTTATGTAGAAACTACATTCTCATTGACAAATAAGATTTCTAAAGAGAAGTAACTGCTGCTGGTCAGTGAAAGTTTTCTCCAACTTTGCGCATGACCTACATTACTGGAACTAATGCATTAAAAGAAAACAGTTTGGATTGACAACAGTCTGCCAGGTGATGAGTCAAATGTAGATTGTTAGAGCCAAGAGTTTAAAAGCTGCCCCTCCTCTGTATTAAACTTTTTCCTTTTTTTTTTTTTTTCCTCAAGGATTGCCTCACAGAAAGATACTTCTGTACTCACCTCTCCAAATCCGCCTTTGCCTAGTACTCGGTAATGCCTAAATGTGTGTTTGGTTACTGGTTGCCTGATCAAGAAAAATAAAGTTACTACAACAGGAATTACAAGAGTTACTAATCCCTTTCCCACCCCGAGGTCTGTCTTCATTTTCTCCTTCCTGTTCCATGACATCTTACTGAACAACAGTTGCCTTGACCTCATGAAGACAGCCTTATAATAAGCAGAACTTCAGATGAAAGGAGGTCTCTTGATTAGAAACACTGGCTCCCTCATGTGGTCATCAGACATTCACAATAGCAGGAAGAAAAGCTAATCAATTAGGCCCCGTGCTGTTTACAGTTAGAGCCTTATCTGTTCTCATCAACCGTCAATTTATCACCTCCAGTTGTCTCCCTCAGTTGCCATATGCTGGCGTAGAGGCTGCATTTCAAGGAGATCGTGCTCACAACGCCGCATTTAAAAAGTAAACCATTTCTGATTTTGCTTTGCTGTTCCGGTTTTTCAAAGAAAGAGTTGTGGTAGGCAACAGGAGTCCACCAACTGAATTGTTAAGGTACTGATGTAGTGGAAGAGGAACAGATAACAGGAGGCAATAAAGGTGCCAGCCATTCTATGCTAAAACACTCCTAAAAGAGCATTGACTGTTGATGCAGCTTTGTTCTCAGGACAAAGGTTCATTGGTAACTTCCCCAGTTCTCTACCTGGCTTTTGCTACTAATTCTGTCAAATAAAGACACTGGAAAATTGGAATTTACCATAAAATTAATAGTAAAGCCCTTAACCTTTGAATATGTAATCACGACACCCAGCAGTGCTGAATTAATTAGAATCAGCTGGTACCAATTTCAGCCTTCTGAAAAAGTGTGGACACTCATTTGGTACTGATTTAAAAGCCCAAACCAAATTCTGATATATACAAATCTTGCAGTCTTGTAATTACTAGGTCTGTGTCTGTACCACCCTGAAAAACTGATTAGTTACCCAATGGGTTATAAAACTAGATTAATCTGTTTATTAATCACTAATTAGACCAAGTTTGAAAATAAAGGATGATAGCATTTCCAAGAAAGACCGGTATGCCACTGCACCCTTGACAGCCAAACTTATATCTATATGATATATGAAATTTGCATTTACCTAATGCAAATTTACCACTTAAAGACTCCTGGACTTCCACTGGAGTACTGGTTCTCTCACTGTCCCATCAACACTATCCTTTACATCTTGTCTTTCAGATCATAATTTCTCTGACAAGCAGTTTCATTCATTAGGGCTTTACAACATTTCTAGCATAATAAGTAGAACTGGCCACAAAGTAAAGCAAAATTATAATGCAAACATAAATAAACTTACTTTTCCAGCCATTTCCACTGTAAAAAACGGGAAAAATACACACTTTCTTGGTAAGCTTCAAAAGGGCTTCTGCTTAGGTATTCATGGACAATTCTATCAAAAGGAAAATAAAATCAATCTTATACTGAAAAAACTGATGAAGGAGGAGATGCTATCCATCTATTAAAATATACTTAAATGTATCAATGAAGCACTAGGCAGGAAAACATTGTCACTGCACTCTACAACAATTTTAATCTGGGCGTCTCACAAAGTGACTGCCTGTCACAGAAAACTGTTCCTGTCAAAACACCAGTGAATGCCAAACTACTGTTACTTACAGTAACTACAAAGTTTGACCTCTGCATACTCATTAAGTGTCTTCAGTCCCACCTAAACATCAGCCTCTCAATAGCTATGCAATGCATGTGTGACTCCACAAATTTGACCTCAGAGATATTTACAGGAAAATATCTAGAAGTTTTCACAGATTCTTTGGAGACCAGTAAGTAAAATTTTATAGTAGGATTTGAAATTGAAATACTAAATGCCGTATCCAACCTGAACACCAGGTACTGTATCATTCCCCATATACTAAACAAACCCAGGTCAGGGTTGGGGGGAAGGAAAACAAGCCAGTCAAACTGTATTCAGATATTAACTGGACAGTGGAAAGGGGATGACCTACATGGCAGATCCTCCGTTTGAGACATGTTTTACTAGGTGTTCTCACACATCCCTTTCAATCTTATAATCTCAGGTTGTTATAAAGTATGCTTATTTTTGTTGCTGGGGAGATGACCCAAGCAGTGACAAAACGTGTTGTAATCCTTCAGACATGATCAAGCATGCCTTGAAGAACCAGTAATATTAGAAACAAAGACTTTAGAAAGACATGCAACACTGGTAAACATGAACCATCCCTCCTAGGAAAGCCTTCTCTGCTGCTGCTGTGTGAAATATCACTTCATGATTTCAGAACAAAACCAAGTTGTATTTGTTTATGTTAACTATCACAATCAATCCTCTAACCAGCTATCTCAATGGAACGTAACTGTTGGCCTCACTTCAACCCGTTATCAAAAAATATAAATTGTGTAACATTGTTCGGAAACCTTTCAAGCTCCAGCTTATAACTTTGTATTTTTCTAATTACCTTCCTCATGGAAAAAAGAAGTCACTCAAAAGGTAAGAATATAATAAAGAGAAATACCATTCTAACTTAAACAATTTTATGCAAAAATAGCATTGAAGAAAAAGCTCTGAAAAAAATCAAACATCTACAATTACTTCTGAAGGAAACCTAGTCCTTCAATAAATCTGTTCCAAATTTCTTACCTACACTAATTTCAGAGACCAAATACTCTCGGGTGTAATAACTTAATTTTCATTTCTCTCAGAAACACATGAATTTCCCTTGTGATACTCAAACTTAGCACTATGCATTTTTAACTTACCTAGTACAGTCCATAAAAAGATCCTTAGAAGGGTTCTTTTCCAGTCTCGCTTTACATTCATTTACTGTTTCCTGAGGTATTTCTGGCAAGTGTGCTGCAGACTTGACATCATTAAAAAAAAAGGAAGGGCAACAATGAAGGAAATTTTGTAAATCATTAGGACAAGTAAAAGTTCTATATTCAAAGTGAAATGAAATCTGCTAATATAGGAAAAGGAAAGGAATGGCTTGGCTAAAAAGAAAACCAAGAAAGTCTGATTCAGGCAACATTTTTTTTGTTCCCTATTACAGAAAAATGCATTGAAAGCTATTACAGTTATTTACTATTTCAGTATCTGGGGAAACAAACTTGCAGTAAGTCCAACTTCTTTTTCTTTCCATAGGCCTACCACTACAAAAGCAAGTTATCTATTTGGTTTGGCAGGATGGAAGGAAGATGAAACACACAAAACACACGATTTGGGAAACTATTTCAAACCAGCCCAAAGAAATATCTTTTTTTTTTTTTTTTTCTTCAAAAACTGGATGTGACTTATGGTAGTTCCAAAGAAATTGTTAAAAGAGATGTGGCAAACTTGGACCCTATCTGCTTTTAAGGCATCTGGAAGACCTTCATTTGAAGTAAAGTCTTCTCAAGTTGACCAAAGTAAGAGGAGGAGCAGCATCTATTCATAGAAAGCAAACATCTAATTATATATCCACAGAAAAGCTCCTATCAGATACCAAAGAACAGACTCTTAAAAATAAATCAGTGAGATCTAATATATGCCAAAGATCACCTATTAATGATTGCCATGCAAAATACAGAGAAACGGAATGCCCTAGAACGAAGCAAAAAAAGGAAGCCCGAGAATTTAAAGAATTCCTCACTCGTATCTTCAGATAGAAAACTCTGAGTTAATTTGTTAACAAGTTTCTTTAGATGCTAAATGAGTTTGTTTAAAAAAATATATCTTCACTTGAGAACAATATTTTAATTAGAAAATATAGGAGAATAAATCATAAATAAGTCAAAAGCAGAAATCAGTCAAGGTTTGTGCTCAAGCTGATAGGAGTTTCGCAATCTTAGAAGGTAGCCTACCTTTCAGAAAGACAAAAAAATGGGACTAAAGTAGTTTAAAGTCTATTTACTGAAAACAACACAACAACTTAGATCTCTGTTTGCCTCACATTTACAAAACACTTGAGACAACATTTTTCAATATAATATATTTACCCCATTAGTGAAGTATGTCTCTAGAACTTTCAGGCCACAGTCTATACGCTTTTCATCTGAAGATACCTCATATTCTGCCTGGGGGAATAGATTTGAAAGTTAAATTATGTTCAGAACTATTTGGCACTACAGTCTTTTACACAATGCTAGGTAAATTTTATGATAAATACCACAATGCTCCTAATACAAAAGGAACTGGAAGGGTCTCATTGCTTAAAATCTATTTTAATATTTTAGGCTACATAGTGTAACATGTATCAAGAACAATCTTAATGAAAAAAGCACATGGAATTTAACTGTTGGAAAAGATACGAAAACTAATGATTAGTCTAAGTGCAATTACAGAAACTACATCCTAGAGGCTAAAGTAGATCAATTACAATGAAATAGTATTTACTTAATATTGCAGGACAGAATGATCCAAATCGGAAATAATTAAATAAGAGTACAATAATCAGCCTTTTCTTCACTGTATTATTTTTATTTCTTCATATATTTTTCTTTACTACAGTCTTGAGTAAAACCAGGATAAAACTACTACTTTCTACAAGGTCATGTTAACTGGAAATAAGTGAGGTCTAAACCAAATCCTACTTCATTCTTTGAGAAAATAAAACCAAGTAGATACAAAGTTTCATGAAATTTTTTCACTTAGTAATACACAGTACTTTAATATAGAAAAAGACCACTGTGCAATATGGCACATTTAACAGATAAACAACTGGCAGCTTAATGAAGCTCTGGATGTAGCTACTTAAGGAAAAAAACAAACCATCAAACCAGTATTGAAAACCACCAAGGACTACTTACTAATAACAATTTTAAGGTATAATCTAGAAGCAGACATCAGAACTTAGAACATTTAAAGATAACACAGAATCTGGGGAAAGATTAGTTAGAAAAGAGCAGATCTCAAACAGCAAGCTATATTAGCTTTCTATGCTGGGCCAACTCAATCAAAGCTTATTTCATATCTCAGAATGTAAACGCATGCACCTAGGAACAAAGAGAACCAACCACACACACACAATACTGGAAAGAACAGAATCCCTGAATTCCAGTTCTGCAATCAATCGCACTAACCCACACTGAGTCACTACTAAGTCATCAGCATCTTTTTAGCTGAAACATTATGGTATCAACCACTTCAGCACAGTACTCAAATCCATAAACAACTGCAAGCCATTGTTTTTGCTACTTTAATTCCACAACAATCAGCCTAATGGTAAGGAATTCTTCTGCAACTACCAAACAACCTAAGCGGGTTAGAAAAGTTAATCAACCACAGCAGTGCACTTACCACCTTTAACATTTTCAATTATGCCTAAGTAGTCATTAATTTAATACAGACAGTTAGGAATACTATTTTAAGCAGATACTGTAATTTAAAAGGAAGTTTAAGAGACAGCCTTGTCAACTAATTTCTGTTACTCACAGCACTTAAGAGGGAAGTTTGAGCTGTCACCCATTCCTTTTCATACTTGAGTAACCTTGTCCCCAGCTAGTGAAATGAGTCATTAGATGATTGGATAACTGTAATTCCTCACTTTAATTTCTGACATTTTTACTCTATTATTTCACAACTCTTCTTTCTATAAAGCCAAGCTGACTCCAGACTTTACAGTCACACCTTCTCAAGAGCTAAAGCTTACTAGTCTGAGTACTCAGTAGAGGTAGACAGCAGAGCATTATACTACCTTAATTTTGCCATTTTCGCCTCCTGAAATCACATTGCTCCAAATAAGAGAGCCGGAAAACTCTTCTAATTAAGATTCAAGACTCTTAAGACCGTGGTATTTTATGCCAGAAATTTTATTTTCAGAAAGTCTAACTCTGCAATTTATTTAAAATAATAAAAAAATATTAAAACTTGGTCAAACCTGGGGTAAAAACCCGACAACCTCAGCATTTTCCCTTCACGTTACTGCCTTACACACAAAACCAACAAAAACCCCCTCAACCCTGCTCCCAACCTGAAAAAAGCTTGAACAAGCTTGCTGAAGCCCCGTCCAGAAAAGGGAATCATGCCTAAGGTTTTTCCTCTCCTTAGGGCTGCCCAAGATTTGTTACTCCTTATCTAAGCGTTGAAGGATTAAAAATGCATATAGAGGTTGTAACCATGAAGGGTACATCCACAGTTGTCAGTGGTCTGCCCATTGTGCAATGCTTGTTAAAGGCTCTAGTTTACATCCACTTCAGGATACTTAATTCCACTGTTCTGGATTTCCATTCAATCCATTCTATGTTTCCAAACTATCAAATTGGTCTCCGGAACTTGGTGCTAGAACAGCTCCTAAGAGTCACAAAAGTATGGTGAAACGCACCTGGAGAGTAAGCCTAATTGCACAAAGATTCATTAATAAATATAAGGCAATTCTACTTATTTGACGCTAAAGTTCCTTTTTGCTGATTGAGTGTCTCAGTTTATACGCCCGTTAGGGAAACCAAGACACGGTGAAGCGTGGGGCACAGCAATAATCCCATGTACTTCCTTATACCCTGCACCTTTCAGAGCCATCGTGCATTCTGAGCCTGTATTTTGGGACACATAAGCAGCAGCACTACCCTCCTCTTATCTTCTTTGGTCATTTGTTCCCTGAATATAAGAACACAAAGAACACGAACAAGTGGGATGAGGAAAACTGTTCTTTTGGCAGCAATCTCAGTTTAAGGCTATATCTTACTCCACAAGGGACAAAAAATAAAAAGCTCTGAGTTATTATTCTCTCCTAAGGACTGCTGTGTGCCTGCCTACTCTTCTCACTACTTTCTCCCTCCCCATGAGGGCTTTGTTTGAGAATTTTTTACAAAACACAGCTATGGGCACACTTCCTTCCTCCCCTCATTCTTTAGCATTAAGATACCAAGATGCAAATGTATCAAGAAAAAACACTTCCTTTTCCTTGCTCTCTGGTTTCTCTCCTTCCATAGATGGTTCCCTAAATTTCCATCTCCATTTTTTTTTTTAATTAGCACATTCCGTCCAGCCTAGGGCTTCCATGCAAGTTGCAACAATTTCAAGTATATGTTTACAACATTTTCAAGTCTGAGTACCATAAGTAATATTCATTGTACGCACATCCTTTTAGGCTCAAGAAGTCAAGCACCATGTTTTTCTAAACTTATTTCTCTCATTCCCATCATGCCCATTTTTGTAGCTCTCACCATACCACGATGGCAGAGATTTCATAGCAAATATTAAACATCTTTAAGTAACAGAGTCAGAGCTCTTAGACATTTGTCATCAAAAGTTACAGCTTTACAGTTGGCAAGGAGTAAATCTCTCTGTATTTTATAATATATGTAGCACTAGTGCACAGATGTGTTAAGAGAAAATTAATATTTTATAAAATTGTTGTGTGTTAACCCTTAGCTTAGTCAGCTAAGCCCCACACTGCTGCCTGTTCACTCCCCCCAACAATAATGAGAAGGACTGCAGTGAGTAAGCTTATGGGTTCAGATAAAAACAGTTCAACAGATTAAACAAAGCTGCACGTACAAGCAAAGCAAAATAAGGAATTAATATGCTTCTTCCCATGCAGGCAGATGTTTAGCCATTTACAGGAAAGCAGGGCTTCATCATCATGTGTAATGGCTACTTGGCAAGACAAACACCGTAACTCTAACTTCCTCCCTCCCTCCTCCTTTCCTCCAGCTTTTATTGCTGAGCACAGCCTCATGCAGCATGGAATATCCCTTTGGTCAGGTGGGGTCAGCTGTCCTCACTGTGTCCCCTCTCAACTTCTTGTGCACCCCCAGCCTCCTCACCAGGGGGGCAGCACGAGAGACACAGAAGGCCTTGATGCTGTGTAATCACTGTTCAGCAATAACTGAAACATCCGTGATATGAACACTGTTTTGGTCGAAAATCCAAAACATAGCACAGCATGAGCTACAACGAAGAAAATTCACTCTATCTCAGCTAAAACCAGTACAAAAATCAAACTTTTTACAAACACAAATTTATAAGCTATTGCCTATGGATATTCATCTCCGACTTTAAACTGCTTACCACTGCATCCAGAAATTCAATGCATCTTTTCAAATCTGGTCTGGAATCACAGAACTGTCTGAAGAGAAGTCTTCCTATTGGCTGTTTGTCACAAAGCTGGTTATAGTCTCTTTCTGAGAAAGAAATAATAAGTAAATAACTTTATTTAATTTTATCTTTGTCATAGCATGGTCCTTACTCCTATTTGAGGATAGGTCAGAAAAGCATGATCCTTACTCCTATTTGAGGATAGGTCAGAAAAATATCTCTACATTGTGAAGATTTTACATTAGCATATTCAGCAAATATATCAAAATCATGCAATGATCCCAAATAGTAGTGAAACACTCACTTCCTGCCACATTTGCCTCTTATAGACTATCACATTTATTAAAAACACATTAAATTATATGCTTAAGTTTCACCTAGGTTGTGGGGTGGAAAGCAACAGTACTGTGAAATAGCAACCCCAAAGTGAACAAGATTGTTTGGAAGGAAGGAATACAAGATAACAGAAAAGGTTAAAAAATTATTACAAAACTTTAAGAAAAAAAAAGAGAAATATATTACCATGTCATTCAAATTGCAACATGATTCCTTTTTCTAATTCATGGCTTTGTAAACTTATCCTTTAGGAGCAGCCTCCTTCAACAAACAAGGAGGTGTGATACAGCTTTTATCTGCTCATAAATTCACCATCACATAAAAAGTCTAACAGCTTTTTTGGCTAATTAGCATACAGAAGCAAGACAGAATCCTTGCAGTTAACACCACCAAACTTTTACCCCTCCTTCTCAAGAACAGTCAGACAGACCATTCTACAGGACACCTACCGATTGAGCATCTAATACCTTCACAATGACTAACAGGTGGCAACTTCAGCATCTCTCTCCATTTTTTACTACGCCCACTCCGTTTGCCTGGAAGAAAAATATGAGTAATGTAAAACACAATACAATGTCAGGGGAAAAAAAAATTAAACATAACATTAACACCATAAAATTAGCTACCTTCTGCACAGATCTGTCAGACCACTTTTCATGCCCAGAAACAAATCTATCTACAGGGATAATCAAACTAATAATAAATTTGATATAGAAGAACCAGGTAACAAAATCCACAGAACAAAGTTCTTCAACACATTTTTGGATAATCGAGTTGTACATAAATATTCTCTTTTTAAGGGCAGTAATAGTAATAAGAGTAGACCCCACAAACAAATAAGTGGGCATTGCTCAAATACACACCATTTATTCTAGACTAGAGGAAGATACAGGATAGCAGAAAGAACTTAGCTGTTGTAGAAGTCAGATCTTTTCAATGCTTCAGATTTCACAGCACTAGTATTAAACTGATTTTTAAAAATACTACAATATTTTTGAGAAACAATGGAATAAATACACCAGTGCTCCATTTTCTATGTTAAAATTTGAATTTTAGCACATTACTTTGACCTGAAGAAGCCAATTCCATTTACAAAAGATAGGCATACTTATCAAAAAGCAGAGAGATACGTACAGGAATACATATATATATATTTAATTGCAAAACATGTCAGCGGAAGAGTTAATTTATGTGCTGCAAAATATTTTAAACAAAGATTTTACAAAGTGATATGGCCAGATGCATTTCCACATGACAGAACAGTAGCAAAACTGCACAGAAACTTTCGAACTGTACCAAAGCAGTACCTACAGTTAACCACAATGGGAGAGAAAGGAAGGGAGTTACCCCATGTAACCTGAATAGAAACCAAGTAGCAAACAGTACTCAGGTCTTTCAGAATTAAATCGTTAGGGAGAAATGAACTAACACCTTCAGAATAATAAAATACGTATTTAAAAAAACCCCTCTTCAGTCAGATAGCTTCTTGAACAGTTCCACCACTGCAGTCAGAGCAGTTCCATCCTAGTGTCCCTTAGCTCATACCAAATTTACATGATCTTTGCTAACAGGAACATTGACGTCTCACTGTGCTGCTACAACAAAACATTCTCAACTCTAGTATCACTGGAAAGTAAACAAATAAGGAATAGAAAATCTTACAAAGCATGCCTTGCAGAGATTCTTTGAACTGATACCTACTCTCTACAAAACCTTCTTCTGCACTTTATTTCCTTATGTTGCTTTGCAAGTCATCTGCCTTCCAAAATATTTTAGAACACAAATATATCGAACCTATTCCCCCCTCTCATACTTCATGCACTACCAGAACTAATTATGAAGTTATAATTACCAGCATCATTCTAACAAACTCACACCTTTTTAACATAAAAAATATTTTGTTAAAATAAAGTTGGATATATATGCTTGAAGAAAATCAAACAACACAGAGCGAAGAGATGCATTCCTAACAGAATTGAACAGGAATAAAATCAAGAAATCCTGTAACACAACTATCCTGCACACATACACTGAATAGAAAAGGTCCGAGGATAGATTATTATGTGATCATTGCAAACAATGGACAGAAGCATCAACAACCTAGTTTTTAACCATGCAACTTAAAAATGCACTAAGGTCCACAGATGTTAAATTCTTCTGTTAGAAACTGCTCAGAAAGACTCATTTGCGCATGACACAGTACAATCAGTATTTATCAAGAATGATAAACTGACCCAAATTCATAACATAATGCTGTTCTGAAAAAGTAAAACTGAACTGTGATATACAGCAAATATATCATCTTCTGAAGCACAGTCCAAAACACACACACACACAAAAAAACCAACCACAAAATAAAAAAAGCTAAATAATAATAATAAAAAAAAAAGGGGATCACTGGTGCATTATACTTCAGGTCCAAAACAAGTGAGTCTGCTGCATTTCGCCCCAAATATTTGGCCAGTTACTTACGATGTGACCATTATGAACTTCATTTTACAAAAAGAGACCATATGCTAGAATGCAATTGAATTCACCATCCTATAGAAGTCAATAAAGACTACATATAATTTATTAATGATGCACAAGAATCAAGTGCTTAAGAGGCATCAACTAAATTAACATGCTCTCTCATTTCTCCAAACTGATTGCTCTTACTTTTACAGCAAATGCACAGAAAGAGTCTGTATATCCTAATAATGTAAAGAGAATGCATGACCTACAACATTTACAGATAAATTAGCCACTTCTGGTAAAATTTATGGGAGGAGTCCAATTTCTTTGTCATATTATTATCTAATTGCAAAATCTTTTTCCATTTCTGAGGCAGTTTAAAAGAAGTATCAAATCAAATTATAATAGTTGTGGTTTGTAAGTGTCTTAATATTGATTTCAGAGCTTCTATTCTGGATGTCATTCAAAAATACTTCAGCTAAAATTCTTCCAGAAAAACCAACAGCTTATTTTCCAACACAGCAGCATCAAAACCATTAGATTAATCTGCTTTATGGTTGACCTATGTAGTTCAGATGAAATACCACTTTTGCCCATTTCAGATGTAATTGCTGGCTTAGAACAATGTCCAACTTGAAGCAACCCATCTTTTACAAAGAGAAGGGTGGATGCAGAAATACACCATTACAGTGAGGGAACACTGCAGTTACATTTTCAGGTACACGAGAACCTTACCTTCTTCTCCTCCCCAAAAGTTTGAGTTAGAATTTCAGCATTTACCTTTTCTTCACATGTTTTTGCTTCTTAAAAAGACACATACTAAATTCAGTTTGGCCATTGCATTGTAATATGGTATGGGAAAGGTGTTTAGGTGTTTTCATTTTTCAACTTTTTTTCTTTAAACTTCGGAGAAACATTTCAAAAACTTACATAAGGCAAGGCGGTTGGCTTATTCACCAGTAAAAACACAACTAGTTGCAAAAAAATGAAACTGCTGTGGCAAAACACAGCAATCTGGTGTAGAAACAGATTTAGACAAATAAGAATGTTTTTCAAGTCATCAGGCAGGCTGCCCACAGCCACAGTGATCTTCCTTACAGACAGGATTTGCTGCATGGCTCTCATTTCACTGAGCACAACATTCACTGAACATTATTAGTCAGTCTTCCTTGAGATAGAAAACTTGGATTCTGTCCTTCCGAATGAAAATCATGAGAAGCACCCTACTATCTATGGCTAATAAATGTACACAGACTATATGGGGTGAAATGCTGTGGCTACTATGCTGACACAGAGATTATGACACCGGGTTGTTCAGAGACCTCCGTGCTTCAGCCTTCCTGCCTGTAAAGGGCAAGCAACGTATCGCTGCGGTCAAAAAGCACACAGCTATGCAGCACTAGGGGTGCACGATTGCTACATAATTCTTGCAAAATTGATTCCACAAACCAGATTGTCAGATACTAGCTGAGAAATTCATACTAGACCACACCCAGATAAGCTCTGAAAGTGTAAAACTGCAACAAGAAGATGGCCCGCAGCACGCCTTTAACTGTATAAATCAATCGGTTCAATGAAAAAATGCAACAGAATTGATACAGAAGCTCTGTATCATCTACGCTGAGGTCCATGAGAGCAATCTGGGTACATACACTGTCTTGCAATACATCTTTCCCACAGCAGAGAAAGTGGCAGGAGGGTTTCCCAACAGATTTTAAACTCGGATGAATTCACATCTTCTCCTACTTACAGTCACATTTTCCTTCAAACCGCTTGTGATAAGGATTAAAACCTTCCATGAAAAATCAAAACATTCCTGTTTCGTAGCCTTATGCTACAAAGACATTTGTAAACTCTGCCCACTAAAACAAATTTTGATGGCATGCCCTTACTGTGCAAGGTCCACCTTCAAGACAAAAAATACTGCAGAACTGATACCCCAGGTCTTCGGGTCAGAATGGTAACACGGAAGTACTACTAACTCCAGGCTAGGAGAGAGGTTCCCACATACCATTACTTGAGGAAGGCTGTCGTGAACCAGAGACAGCTCATACCACACTGCCTTGTGGGGTCTCTGCAACCTTCTCCACTGCGCAGGTCAGATGTATTTTTTGACATCTCAGTTCCTTGAAAGACAGTCCTAGTCACAACTTAACACTGAGGTTTAAGAAAGCGGCATCTCTTTTATACGCAGATATTTTTTTTCCCAGAAGTATGATGCATACAATCTGGCTGGCTCTCAGCAAGTTCACCAGAATCACCCAGCTGAAAATGCAGGTTTCAGCACGAGGTAGGCACCTAATTCTTCAGTGTTATAAAGGCCAAGGCACTTCTGAACACAAAACAGAAGCACAAATGCAAGCAGTTTAATAAATAAACTGCTTTAATAAAAAAACATAAAAGATACGTACAGATTACAGATTGTTATGGCATTTTTAAGATAATATTCCTCACGCTCCTGGATTCAAATGCCTAGAATCCGACTTTAGCAAAGTAATGCTGGAGTCCTCTTGCTCGTCTAACTGCCAGAGAGCAGTAACACCGTAAGCAGTTAAAAACCCCGGGTACCTACGTGAACATTTGTGCAGCTTGTTTATGTGCACAATCATTTATTGTTCCCACAGCTATAACCACTTGAACAACTGGTTCTTCACATGGGCTCTATATACAGTTCCAGTAATCATGTGCACCTTTAAGTGCACACACGCTGAACGGCTTCTGCGCTTCTTCAGAGATTAGGTATGAAAGTCTTGTATCAACTCAAGTAAACGTAACTAAACCAAACCCGCATTTATTACCCTAATCTTGCCACAGAACAATGTAACATCTGTGTATACATTGCATATGATAGGTCTATAACAACGACTTAATGAACAGAGCTTACCAGAGGGGAAAAAAAAAAAAAACAACACTAAACCACACCACAAAAAACAACATGAAGAAAACTTCAATTTTACAGACGACTCCCTGACAAACAAGGTGGTACATTGTGACTGCAACAGAGAGAAAAGAAGTAAAATTCCTTTAAGTAAATTGTGAAAGCTCTAGTTCCAATTGCCACGTTTGAAATAACCAAAGCAGC